CATTTTCTACACTGGGTAGTGCTCAAAAAAAAAAAAACTATCCTATTAATAGTTAACTATTATAAAAAATAAAAAATATATATATAGAGACCTAGGCATATTAAAAGTATTTTAATAACTGATCCACCCTTACAAAAACCCCAATGTTTGAAAACCAAGCCTATTAATAAGGGAGATTAATATAATAAGTAGTTAGTAATTTCCTATTATATAACTATATGCCATCTTCATTAGTTAACAAATAATGGTGATATAACTATAATTATGGAGATTAAGAATGATCAAATTTGTTTACTAAGTTATTCATATTGCATAATCATAAACTATGAATATTATTACTCCTTAATTAACTTAGAGATGTTCAATATTAGGTATTAATAAGACAAAACAATTAATGGTAGGTATTCATGATGAACGGTCCATAATCCGTATAATATAATTCAAGGTAATTTATACTAGGGATAGTTTATCTCTAACTGAAGGGACTATGTTATCAACAATTAAGGTAATGGGTAATCGATATATTCATAGTTTATTCCTAGGTAGGTTGAAGTATAGTGATATGTAGTGAGGATATTTTACTTGATATGTAGTAAGGATATTTTACTTATTCCTCAAATAAGTGGAATTTATTATAAGTGTATTTTTAACATCAACCTATCTAATGCCCAAAAATTAGTATTAGCTTATATCTTCTCTACTAATATTTGGGGGATAAATATATTCACTATTGATATATTCACTACATAATCTATTAACAAGATAATTTCAAGATATAAGCTATTAATGGGTTATTTACTTGGTTATTTATAGAAAGGGTTCATGGTCTACTATAGGCCTTAAGTTTAATCTAAGAGGATAGGAACCATGTTTATTAATTGATAACTTTACAGTTCGTTATCCAGACAATAGATTACTCTTGATATCTTTATGATTACATGGTTCTCATTGGAATTATATTGGACATTGATCAATATGTCATTAATGAACTCGGTAAAGTTATCAATTAACAAACATGGTTCCTATCCTCTGAGATTAAACTTAAGGCCTATAATCTCCTATAATGGCTAACTAAATTAGCCTTAACTAATTTATATAATACTAATATAAACTAGGCATATCGACTAACCCATGATTAAATCAATATAATATTTGAGGGCCATATTAAATATGAGAATGATCCATAATCTCCTAATTTCCCTTTCATACCATGTAATAAATTGCGAAAATGTAGAATTGATCATGTTAATACATATTTCAACTAACCTAAGATGGATATCAGCCCCTAATCAAGAAATTGATTATAAATCCATGTATCCTATAGGTGATTCACCATTTTAGACACCATACTATTAGCCCATTCTCCCTAGTCAAATAGTTTAATACAAAATCAATCATATTAGATATGTGTCTTATATTGGATAAGTGAAGAAAATGTTGGTTACATATAATTGTTGAACATATTTTTATAGGTTTACACTTGTAGGTTGAGTCATATCCTCCTTAATTAGGAATTATCGAGTAGGTGGGAATTTACTCAGCTATTTACCATTGTAATCTATATATTTCCCTCTTCATGGTTTATAATCACATTCTCAATTATTCTCTAAAAGGACATAAATATAGTTATGTAATCTACCTAATGATATACCCCTCTCGGGTAGGCCAAATCCCGATATTTGCCATAATATAATAAAGAGAATTTAAGTTATACCATAAAATTGTAACCCTATATAATAACACTATTGATGGTCGCATAAGCGATTAGGTTACATTGTATGGTCCATTATGGGATTAAATTGTTCTTGATAATCACTTAGATAACAATGAATAAACTACATCATAAGAGTCATGCCTTTGATAATATAGTTTACAATATATAAGGTGTTATGAATAGATAAGAGTACATGTCATATAACCCATTCTATAATTATACCATATTAATGGGACATCTACCTAGAGTTAGCACATATAAGGTCCCATTGGCATAATCACTTAGTATAATAGCCTAGGCTATATCACATTAACCCTTAGCAACATATTGTTTATAACTATATTAATACTACATTTGTTATGGAATTTAGGTAGATAAGATCCCTTGGAGTATTATAAGGATCCTATCATAAATCTATGTTAACTAGTATCTTTATGAGAGAATAGATTGGATAATATCAATTGGCTATACATTAAAAAAATCAACCACTCTTGAAATTATAAACTAAACATGGATATTGAACGTATTCGGGACATCTAGGAGCATATTACTATATTCACTACTATGGTATAATAAGGAATAATTACCATGTTATAATGGAAAAACTTGATATATTACCCATTAATATAATGAGTAGTGGGTAATAATATTATTGTAAATATCAGAGTCTCTATAGGGTTATTTATAGAACCTTAGCCAAGATAACAATTGGGGATTATTAATAATATTTGGTATAAAATAATGATTATATTTGTACCCTATCCTAATGGTTATTTACCTCTATATATTGATTAATATATTTTCTTAGAGTGATAAGATCAAGGTACTCTAATATCATTCATGGGATAACGGTATGATTAACTAGACAAGATGTGGCCAATATGAGATAGTTGTCAATTAACTATTATTGTGGACGTTGATAGGGATATTATGCCCCTATCACTTGGATAGTTAACTTTGATGACCATTAATAGTTAGACATTAACATTGATAATTTGCAACCAATAGTTCGAGAGAGTACTTATTGCCATATGCTTTTAATATGCTTGATAACACCAAATGGTCCCTATAGCAATTACAACTATGTTCGTTCCCATATTATAATCAATTAAATTATGGTTATATAAAGGAATTAGGTCCATATTCAACACTTTTATAGGATAATTACTTTTATCATTATTGGCGAGGGTTATTTTTAATGGAGCATAATTATACCTTTGCATGTATAACCAATATTCCTCTGATACTAGTAATTATATTATTTATTCATATAGTGATAAAAGTAATTAGTATAACCCAAAGATATTCTATGTGTTGCTTAATATGAAGTACATATTAAGCAATATGTCTAAAGCGATAGGACTTTGTAATAGTGTTTGAGTAAGGGTTATTATCTAATGTTATCACTAGTTATGATAGAGGGAAATCTCTTTAGCCATTCTAAGATTGTTATGATCCTATGGACACTCGTTAATCATGATGATATAATCCAATCATCACTTGGACTAGTGAGGATAAACTGATAATATATTACTAGTATCAGAGGAATATTGGTTATACATGCAAAGGTATAAAATTATGGATCCTTTTAGAGTATTACTTAGTGAATATATGAATATGTAGTAAGGATATTTTAGTGTTTTATCCTAAATATTATTGAAGGATATCTTCAAACTTATATAGGATCAATTATTATGTCCCTCCTTACATAGTGATTAGAGAACCTATTTATTTTATGGAGACCATCATAGCCTTGTTGATATCATATAATGGGAGTTAAGTTTATCCTGATATTCTCACTATTGGTTTAACTTAATATGTAAGATATATTATCCTCCTTCATTTAATTAAGCAAAATATCAAATTCAACCCCTTATATTAAGGTTTAATCTAATATAAATCATGTGGGTAAGATTTATAAGATAACAACTGTTATGGTCACCAATACTATGTTCGTATTAGGTTATATACAATAACTCCCTTAAGTATATTTTGTTTAACCTAATATAGGGGAGTATTCCAATTCACCTTCCATTCTCCCACTCATTATCTAGGCTTATATCCGGTTATAATGCTAGTTATAGTTACCATATGATTGAACCTTGTGAGTCAACTCTCGATTACTCCATATCTCTTAATGATAGGTTGGTACCATGTACATAGTCTATGCCATCAATATTTATTAGGTCTCATTACAATTTAACCCTCCGTATATATTCACAACTAGGATATGCCCTACTCTTGCAAATTATCACTCACTAAGGGTATAATTGTCCTCTAGCAATATTAAAAGTACACTTGATATGTTCATAGATTAAAATGCTTAATATTCCTTAGGATTCAATATACTTGGATGTTCCCATAATATTGTTATCTCCCTAAGACGAGATATACTTTCCCCCACAATAGTATGGCCACAACTCTTGAGTATATATAATATTGAGAGGGTTATAATTTGAATGGGTATTACAGGGACAACCTATTAATTGAGACTAATCAGCTCACTATTTAACAAAATTATAGTATTACAAATATTCAGAGTGGATTACTAGCCATGATCTTATAGGAGCTATATCCTCTCTAATTTTTAAACCTTTGTTTAGTATTTGTCAATTAAAACCATTCATATTATAAAAATGGGTAGAGTATTAATACTAAATATCTTAACTCTTTTCAATAACCCTTCCTTTCCCTTTGTGGCCTAAGAGCCCATATAAAAATATCATGGTAATATTAACATACCATAGTGGGACAATCTCCCATTTAGTTATGGGAAATTAAACTAGAGTAAATTCTAGTATATTGGAGAACTAGGTGGACATAAGTTGTTATTGGGCGGTGTTTAAATTGGGAGGGTAAGTGAGGGAGAGGTCACGAGAAAGGGTAATATCTCCTTAATCAATTATAATTAAAAGTCAATATAATTAGAATTATAAAGTATTTATAATAGGTTGTCCTCAAGAGAACTTTTATAAGGCCTTGGCCTACTCACCGGAGGGTCCCTATATGGTTAGGTTAAACCATATCTTCCTAGGTGGAATTATTCTCCTCAAGTTAGACCAATCATATAGCTAATAAACTAGGTAGCCCTACTGATGGATATAACATATTATCCCATATAAAGGCCCTTGATACAAAATATAGGCATACTTGATGGAACTCCATGAATAAAGGATACCTACTCACTATTCCTAATAGAGAATTGATTGGTATACGAATATAATGTGTTATATCAAGTAAACATGAAGGAAACTCTCCCATCTAATGTCCAGGTGAGTATTAATAAATGGAGCTTCAGCGTGAATTGGCCCGAAAGATACCTATTAGTGCTTATCTCTTATGTCTCCCTATATTAATTTGAAATCAATATGGACAAATTATTTAATATATAATTGCACTCCCTAATTATGGGAATATTACAAAATATTATTGTAAAATTGGTAATAATCTAAGATTGTGACAAATTGCAACACTTGGTAAATCTATCCATATTATAGGTTGTATAATCCTTTACTAAGTCCATGCCTATAAAGTGGATAGTTCATGAGTTTGGGTAACCTATAATATATTGATAGACTAATAGTACATCTCTATTATAATCTTATAGTATTTGGCTATCCATTTGGGTAATCAACTCTTATATATTATCTTCACCTATTATGGTGATACTCCCCTGAACAAGAAGAATTATCCCATGAAAATTATTCTCTTATATAATACTCCCTCAAAAAGGGAACAATTATGTTATTTTTCTCCCTCATATGAAACATAAATTAATATGTTACCACAACATTGAGCCTTGCCCTCATTCAACTATCAAACACTATATGGTAATCCTTTGGTAATTCTCCTTACCACTTGATTATAGAGATAAACAAGTCGTGGTAACACACCAATAGAGTATTTATACTAAGGGGAATTAATATATTAAAAGGTGAGAGAGAGATATATTAGTAACTCAAGGGTGGCAACGGATCCTCATTATAACTAGATCAATGGTATAATATTATAAGGATTATTATTGTTAGAAGGGTAAACTTTCTCATGGTACATTATAGATTTAAGGCCCATTAATATTGCTTCCTAGAACATCTATTTGGATAATGTGAACTATATAGAAGTATTATGCCCAATGAGTAATCCAATGCTGAAGATATTATGTCGGCTATATTGGTAAGAGTTCAGTTTAGTCCTATATCCATTAATGTGAGAATTGAATATGGGTTATATTTGGAAAATAATCCTAAATTACCTACTCTTATCCCGTTATGAAATAGGGACCTCCTATTAAATTAGGATGACAGAATGAAGGGGCTATAAACCTATCTTAGAATCAGTATAATATTTTCCCAAAGATATATCCACTTTGGGGACATTACCATAAGTTTCTGTCCCTCTTTTGCAAGTAAGATGTCATAGGTGAATCAGGGTAGTTTAATTGTATATTTGTTGATTCTAAGCAATTTAACTCCCATACTTAAATGGATATGCACCGACCCTAACTCACTCTATTAACAGTTGGTCTCCCTTTAATAAAACTAATAGTTCTTATTTATATGATTTATTTGGCTATAAACTGATTATTATAAAAGATTGTAGTAAGGAGTGTTTATTCCTTAAAGCCACGATTTATAATCATGTTACTTTGGATATCTCACCAAGTTTTCTATTGCAACATTGTAACATAATTGGTCTACATCATCTCGAAAGATAGTAAAAGCTGATTTTGAGGGCCTAAACGATGTTGTTTAGTCACAATCACCCCTAAATCATGGTCGACGCCAATGAGTTTTGATCGTATGCCAACATTATATAGAATTAGATAACCAAGGAGGTGAATATTGGCCTATCAACTTATTTCTCTCCACCTAGTTATCTCCCTCATTCCTCAAAGCCTAATTAGATTATATGAATATTGGAACAAGGATAATTTATCATAACTATTAATGGGCCAATAAGTTTGATACTCCTATTTAATATTGGTTTAAATTGACCAATGTTCCTAACATGCTTCACCAATTTATCATATATTAGTTAATAGTTATGATAAATTTAGTTAATATCTTATTATATTTGAATAATATTATAGTAATTTAATATTATCCAAGATCATATATATAAATGATTAATATTGTAGAGAAATTAATATTGTTTTAATAATAGTTGATAATCTAATAAACCTATCAAAGGTTAATGGAATGGCCGTATATTGGGTTTATCATAAGACTTCCAATGACTCCATACTCTTTATTACATGAAAGCTAAGTCGGGCAAATTCAATGCAAAGGATTACCATCATAAAACTAGGTCAACTTATCCATACTATTCACCCATGCTTCAATCACATTGATACATGGCATACTAATGAAACACATTTGCATAGGCTTTATTCCTAGTTTGGGATGATGCGAAGCAATGGTTGACAAATTATGGTCTCTCTCTCTAATTGTAAGAATTAGGGAGATAACCAAGTGGAGAGAAATAAGTTGATAGGCCAATATTAGAGACATAGTTTAGTTGACAATTGAGAACAAATATCTAAGTATCTGGATTTATGATTTATTTGACAAATTAAGGGGAAGTTCGATGCTCTCTAAGATTAATAATATTACATAGTATATTTACTAAGCTTGTCAATATCTTCTTTTATTTCACTACGTTTGATTGAGTTAGTTGTATCATTTGATCAATATTGGGAGATATCTAATGTTATTAAATATAATTAACCCTAAACATGTGCCTTGGCCAAGCAAGTCTTATGAACAAGCTTTTCAAGGCTCTAATCTATGTGAAATAAAAGAACCAGCCATGTGTTCACATGGGGTTGCCATGCGTGTGTTATCTATTGATTCTTGTGTGTTATGTTTATTATCTCGTGTGTGTTAGGTAGTCAATTGATGACAAGGATAGCTTGATCAATTAACTTGTGAGGGAGAGAAAACCATGAATAAGTATCTCCCTCTCTCCCTACCTCCTCAATAATAAGCTTAGAATGAGTTAGCTATCCAAAGTAATATTGATAAATATAAATATAACCATGAATAGGTATCTCCCTCACTATGTCTTGATCAATTAACTTGTAAGGGAGAGAGTCATTTGGGCCAACGAATTAATTGGCAATGTCTATCTAATGCTTTGGATTTATGTCTTATAACCAAAACATGATCCACTATCATTAAAGGTTATGTGACAAGTATGTTCTCCTCTTGCTTGGGTGAACATAGGCCCATATACATCTCTATGTATAAGGTCTTTATTAATTAGTAACTTTTTCTCCTTTTCAACTAAAGAAATATTGGTGAATAAGACCCTAACTAATCAGGATGATCTTGACTATTAACCAATTTATACGGTATCATCTCCCACTCTCTCAAATTCATGTTCTCCATGAATTGAGAATCATTTTAGATAAATTCTTTGGGGGGGGGGGGATGGATTCATCGAAGGGGGAACTTGTCTAAGCTAAGCCGAATATATTATTGTAATAATCAATCTAATATGTGAATCCTCTAATGTATATGCGGACCAAATTGGATCAAGGAGAATAGCTAAGATTGATCATGCCGGAGCAAAAGGAATATTTATTTCAATGATGTCACTTCTACTAAGATATTTCCATACACTCAATGGGATTTTTGCTAAATTAGAGGAAGAATTAGCAAGAATCTCGTTGAGTGTGGTACTGCCTAAGTTATTTTACCCCTAGTCCATTCCAACGCGTGTTACCCAAGGATAGAGAAAAACAGACAGGGAGTGTTCATGAGATAGAGAGGTCTAAGCAATTGAACTATTAGGGAAAGTGCACAGAGGAGGGAAGAATTTCCAATATTAAAATGCCTCCAAACGATATATATGTTCATCAATCGATGCATATAGATTTCATGAGTAGACATTCATTGAAGTGCAATGTGATAACTCCTTTAGCATACAAGAATGACATGTCCTATCTTAGTCATCCACCTACTTCTCTTAGGCCAATATTTTCAATTATTGGAGGGGGGAGAGAGAGGTGGATGTTTTAGAGATAGTCTAAATAATATGTCATCGATCAAAGTAGGTGAACCTATAGATATCAATTTTAGCTCATTAATAACACTACCTTGGTTTGGGAATTTATTGATAATCTTTTAGAAGAGGTGAATCAATTCTTTTGTTGTACATAGGCCTAAGATTGCTGAATTATCTCCTTATATAAGCAATTTAACTATAGGATAATCTAATATATTATAATATTAAATAATCAATTTATTGTGTCCTATAATACTTGTAGCAATATCAATTTAATATATTTCTAACCAGCATATGTTAAATTGAACTCAACTATTGGAACAAAGGTGGTTATTCATCGTAAATATTTAAAGGATGTGTCAAATGATATCCCATAAGAGGAGTAATACCAATCCTTATGTATTATTCTTGATAATCTTCACAAAAATAGGTAATCTTTCAATGAATATCTCTCTCTCCTCATACTAAATAACTTGTTGATGTTTCACTTGTCTTTCTCTACTATAGTTAAATGTCCCAAGTCATAACATTGTCAAGAATAGACATTGACTTTGCAATAAAAACTAAAGATCTCCCCTTTTTAAATTCCTCCTTTTAGCAAGGAGAGTAGCTCTAATATAATAGATTTTAGATCTTGGAGAAAGAGATGCTTAGTACTAATAGTTATGATACATTTAGTTAATATCTTATTATATTTGAATAATATTATAGTAATTTAATATTATCCAAGATCATATTGATTCACTTGGTATTCAAACATGCAATTTATTAATAAATGAATAACAAATATTATGACTATTTAATATACCAATTATAATCAATATGGTTCCATGACATTATAGTTGGGTAAGGAGAGAGAGAGACAATCCCTATCATACTATTATTCAATGCCCTCACGTATTATTATAGCTCATGATCTCATTATATAACCTCTCTCTTCTTTGTTGATTTAAGGCTATATTTACTTAAAGGTTAAAAGCAACCCTTTAATAGGGGAGAGATGGTGGGAGATAGTTTAGTGTAGAGGGGAAACTTCCCATCTTATAAGGATTATGGGATATTTTTAATCAACTATTAGAGATACCCCCGAAAAGGATCCATAACACAAGTGAAGACTTGTAAGCATTTGATTATTCACTAGGCTCATGAGAGAGGATTTAATACTTCTTAACATGTAATTGTTGGCTATAATCCTATTAGTAGTAGGGAGAGTAGCTCTTGCTTGATAATATTAAACTTAAACTTGTTTTAATATCAAATGACCATCTCTCCTTCAAGTGGCTGACTAGGAATTGGCCTAGCTATTTTGGATATGGTTCACACACATAAGCCTATTCAAATAGGTTTAATAATCTAATGCATATAAATGATATCATTAAATGTCCCAAGTCATAGCATTGTCAAGAAATAGCTAAAATAGAAACGGACCTAATATTGAGAGAAATATATTAAGAATAGTCATAGCATTGTCAATTAAATGTGCAATCCCTTATACCATTTTGCTCTATACGTCAAGGCATTATGATGGATATTACAAGGGAAATTAAGCTTTTTCTTTTGCAGTGAATTTAAGTTAGTTTGTATTCAAATCTAGTATTTTCGTTATTCTATATTTCCCTAATAGTCGATAAACTATTGATGCTAAGTCCTACTTTTTCGTAAAGTAGATTTAATGGAACATAAGAATGTCATATTAGATAATGGAGAAAGTTCCAAAACATGTGATACATTTGGACTTCCCTTTCCAAAGATAGGGGGAAAGGTCCAAGAGAAAATAGCTCAATAACTTATTTAGGGAACTCTATTTCCCTACCCATTTCTCTCGCCACTCTCTCGCCATCTCTCCTCCTCTCCTCTCCCTCTCTCTCCCTCCCCTCTCTTTCACTCTCTCGACTAGATTTGTTATAAATAGAGGGAATTCTTACATCTAATGGTCCAATCACATTGATAAGAAATGAAGAGTATGCTTGGCGTGTATTAAAGAAGGGAGTATATATTCCCTTCCTATAGGGGCAATTTTGGCCAAAAAACCTACATCTAATGGTCCCCCAAACTATTATAGTATGAGTGCTTCTCTAGGGTATGTTCTTTTATAAATTGGTTTTTGACCTAATTAGGACATTTAATATTTCTACACATACAATAGGAAAGGTTAATTCAAAATTTTGAGGGCATAATACCTTAGACAACTATAGGGGGAGAAGGGGGGCCTCTATAATCCAGTAGGGGAGAGAGGGAGAGAGAGAGGAATCACCCGATAACATAATCCTAAGCTCAAAACAATTACATAAAGAGAGGAAGGGAGAGATAATATAGAAAGAGGGAGACAGTGAGGGCGAAACATGGCCCTCTTAGGTTAAAGGCTTCTTAATTCATTGGGAAATAGTTATGAAAACATAAATTGGTTCTTTAATAGTCCTAATGATACGATATTAATAGAAATTAGGAAACAATTTCCCATTTTAGATAAAATGGGAATTATAATAATTGAAGCATCGGATATTTTGGACCAAGTTTGACGTTGGTTAATAGTCCTTTTGTTGACTCGTAACTTATTAGAACAAAAGGTTTATGTTCACTATCTCAATCATTTAATGATATCTCTCTACATGGTAGGCTCTGTGAAAATGAGTATTAGGGAGTATTATTTGTAATAATCTACAAATAATTGGTGAACCAATTTGAATCCTAAGCCAAGTCATTCACCCATTCAAAAGGTGATATCTTGGAATACCAAAAGATATCAATATGGGTAGATATATATTCAATAAGAGTACCTTACCAATTGGAAAACCAATGATATTATACATTTCGATCATGGGTGAATTGTTCTTTAGTTATTATGAGAGAGAATCTAGGAAAGAGTAATATATTATAATACTTACGTATAGGTCAATAAGAGTATCCCTCCCCTTCTCTTATAGTATCAAATATCACTTTTGATGAGCCCCTCATTATTTAACATTGCTATCGGTTAGGGACCTTGTCCATTTTATCTCTTCTAAAAGATTATCAATAAATTCCTAGACCAAGCTAGATCCATTTTATGGAAATATTTAGATCATGATGCAATTCTAGTCACAATAAGCTAAACGTTTTATTATTTATAACTCGCTAATCTATTTAGTATGATGATTGGTATAATATTATTCTAGTGGAGTGATTCTCATTGCACATAGGCCTAAGATTGCTGAATTATATCCTTATATAAGCAATTTAAATATAGGATAATCTAATGTATTATAATATTAATTGATCAGTTTATTGTGTCATATAATACTTGTAGCAATATCATATAGCTAATTGACCTAGAGTGAATTAATGGTTCACATTAATTGTAGGATGACTATTTCTAATTGAGTTATTATTTGTTTCTTATATAAAATAATGCTCAAAGAGTGAGTATATATATAGGAGGCTTAATTTTGGTCCTTTGCTTTTAGAGACCAAAATAGTGATGATGATAATAAGAGGCTTACTAAGTGGTCATATCTAGCTATAGGATAAGTATACTATCAAACCACTATCCACCCCTTGTTTCCATCCTATAAAAAGACCTTGTTATATTAGATAAACTAATAAGTGTATGATTGGGTAATAATTCAGGCTATCAAAATAAAAATGTCGATAATTTGCTTATATGTTCTATCACTATTAGGTTATTCAATTCGATCATTAGTCCTTAAAATCATATTTATTCTTACTGATATAGTGATTACTATATATGTAGAATGAGGTTAATATTGGGTTGGGATATTAATCAATTATAACCTAATATTGATAACTATAACTAGTATATGGTCCCTTTGTAAGGAGACTAAGATAAACTCCATAACAAAAGGGTTAACTATAGATTAAATATACCAACAATTTTATCAATTTAGTATATTGAAGGTTATATATTTACCATATAAGCATATAGTGAATGTAATATCATTAGATAACATACTACAATCAAACTAAGTATAAAGTCTATAATCCTCTATCATTTGGTGATTTATATCATGGTAACTATTTAGGTATAATAATAGTATTATCCATGCTTAGATTTATACGGTATATCATAGGTTAATGTCATTTATAATTTCAAGAGTGGTTAATATTGACAGGGAGCTTTCCCTATAGCTCAGCCACAATTATTCGTATAAGAGGTAACTTATAACATTTAAATCCCTATATTATTCTCCCTCCATCTTAAATGTGTTAGTCCCCTTACCCTATTAGGCCAATTGTAGGATGACCTATTATACTACCCCAACAATGCAAGTGGCGATAGGTTGATATTTGGTCACCTAGAAATCATGTCATAATGGATGATTATTTATAATATGTGATCAGTAAGACCCACTTTGTTTCAGCTTAGTTGAAATCTCAAAGCTAAAATAATTATTATTTTATGATTATTAATGTAACATTAGGTTGATTTCAACTCCCTATAATGCCAATTTACATGGTCTATATTAGCTCTATGAACCTATTGTTATAGTCTTTAGATTTCAACTAATTATATGTCAAAAGGAATTTATTGTGTTATATAAATGTCTCTTTGAGGCCTAAGAGCCCATAAATAAATACCGTGGTAATATTAACATACCATAGTGGGACAATCTCCCATTTAGTTATAGGAAATTATGGACCCCTTATTAATCTATTATTCATGTCCCATACTAGGTCTTTCCTATCATATGGTCAATAGAGCCGAGATTCAATTTTTATAATATATTGATATAATCCTGTAATAGGAATAATTACCCGATTATGAATAGACTATCAATACAAACCACTAAACATATGATCCTCTTCAATATCCTAGATATTAACAACTCGTTATTATGGTAAATACTTCATGTATTTAAAAATTGTCTCAATACATTTTAATATCATGGCCCATCATGATATCCGGCCAATATTCCTAGAGGGTATATTATATAGATTTCAACTCCTGTAATAACGAGAGGGAGTTAACATATTTGCTAGATATAACCCTAACAACCACATCCTACTCTTATAAACTATTACATTTTACACCCTAAAGTGTTTGGATTAGGCTAAATATAGATTAACCTTCTATAAAGTATTCTAGGTGGTAACAATAGGATGTGGTTGATATTATAGAGTTATCCCTAATGATACCTAATCTACTCATGATATATACCTTCGTGAGGACATGGGAGGTTGATAAATAACTAATATTTTATTAACATGGGTTATTCGAGGCTACATAATCAAATACCATTAAATTACCAATGTGAATGGAATCGATCTATGTGGTAAATGTATATCTTAAATTTGCAACCATTATAATTTCTATAGTAGTATGAATATTAGCTCCATAGGATATCCCTCCATAGGGTTTTCCCTTAGTAGACCATACATCAACTATTATATCAATTATTAATATTTCATCTATTTAACATGGTGGGCCAATCAAGATAAGACAAATAGACTCTATCTAGGAATTATCAATAGTTGTACCTTGCTATTTTTTATTGGTCCTATTTGTTGTTACCATTTATTCTTTGAGTAATCCCTATCCTTTTTATACTAGGATATAGAGTTGTAATCTACCTATAATCTGCCTACGTATTAATAATCACAATCGATAGTAGGTATTCCAATCACAATTAGTATTGGAGATGAGGGGCCTATATACAAGAGAGAGTGACATATTACTAATACGTAGGCAGATTACAAGCTAACCACATGGTATAACACCTATGCAATTGGATAGCTTAGATTTTGATATCGATATTATAACCATATTAATCTACAAGATTGTGTATCATAAGCTGATTAATATGGATAGTAGGTGGTTAATATAGCCTAGCTCCATACTTTTCCCTATTATGGGCCTATCGAGATTGTGTATAATGCTCACACCAATGACAAATTAGATGGAATCCTATCGAGGTTTGGTCCTTATAAATTCATTTGTTGGAATAAGGCCTATGTGGATACTCAGTTATAACCAATCTTGAATATTGAAATAGGCTATATTAACTTATTATAACAAATAAGTAGTAGGGGATCGAGTTAAACATTTAGTATTTTATCCGTAGACTTTATCTGGATAACAATTGCTCAATTCCCTGCCTCTCTTCATTTTATACTAGTGATTAGTATGTCCAAACAAAGAGATGGCCCTATTTGATTATTAGATTAATTGGATAGAGGTATTGGTTCTCAACCTATATCAATTCCCACTCTTACATGGTTAATAGATTAATATTTACTAACAATTGGATAACTTGTTATTAAATCCATAAACAAATTTATAAGTAAATACCAATTATTATTTGACCAATATCTATTGTTTGATAGAATAAGGTATATTATTGATTAAAATATACAACTCATTTATGCTCTTATCGTATTAATATACATTATAATTTCACCTAGGATTGATATTCCACAATTAAATATTCCCTTCACTCTAGCAATACTCTAGTAACAATGATATCTATTATTGAACATCTCTAATCAATCAAGAAGTTATTTTATAGATATAATACTCCAATAGGAATATCAATCATAATATGTATATCCATTACTCCCTAGGTTAGGGGTATTAATGTCATCTCTAATGGTCATAAGAGATTACAGATATAATACTCCATTACTTCCTCTCTAACTATAATTTTTGTCAAATTAGTACATCGTTAATGTCATTTATGCTCAATCTTAAATTATAGGCTAGGATGCATATAACTATATTATGCTTGATATTTTCATAATACTATTCTTAAAATGAGATACCCCGTTTAGTAAATAATGAAATGTCTATTACCCTTAAGATCTTATCCAATTAATAAGTAAAACAATCTACAAAATATACATATTACAATTGATATTCGTATTGGAGTATTATATCCCAAAATATCAAGATTATAAATAGTGACCTAATAAATAGGCCCTTTACAATATCCCCAAAACACCTCATTGATTAGACCTTGATGTTAGCCCATATTGTAAGGTATTAGTATCTTATGTTATAATACCCATTCTTTATAGTTATCCTCCAATATACAAGTGTAATATTGAGGGAGACCATATATGGTATATATCGTAAGAAAGCTACCGATCCCACTTATTAGTCATCATATATTTGGGGTAGATATTTGCCTACATAATAATTAGTTTGGTCATCCTATCGGGTTTAAATACCAATATCACTTGCCATATGATGAACTATTGGATCTACTATAATAATACCTTAAATGGATACTCCATATTAGATAATGGGAACTCCATTAGGGCTAAAATATCATAATTTGAGGTAGTTACTAAATAGATGGAAAGTAAATTTTGATGGGCCATAAACAATGGATACCGGGCGCTATGCGTATCGACTCATGTAGTGTTGTAGCTAACGTGTTAAGTGTCCCACCCGAGGAGTACGTTCACAAGAATGAAACTCAAAGGAATTGACGAGGGCCTCGCACAAGTAGTGGAGCATGTGGTTTAATTCGATGCAAAGTGAGGAACCTTACTAGGGCTTGACTAGCATAGCCCAATAGTTAAATCCATTTAGGAACCGATTGGCCTTGATGGTAAGCATCCTATTGAGAGCCTATTATAAGTAGTCGCTAGTTACTTGAGGTAACCCTAAGGTTATTTAGCCTACTCCATATCATGTTAAATTACACAAAAAAGATTTAACCATATTGTTAATTATATGTCCAACCCGATAAGGTCCTTAGGAGTTAATTATATTGATGCATACATAACCATATTGTTCAAATTCCCAAATGGAGTTCCCTAAGGTTATTATCAAATCCAAGTGTTGTGAGAGAGTACACCTATAAACACTTTTTATGGGACTATGTAATTATATGCTTAAAGAGTTATTGGCATAATTATAGCATTTAAGCTCATATGCTATGTTAATATATTTCAAGTTATATGTATTAGTGGTGCTCGTACTAATATAATTCAGGTTATCTTGATGCTAGTCAATCAAGAATAACTAAATTAAGTTTATAAGAGATGTTTACTCCTATCCGAGAATTAATAGGTTCTTCCCGGAGGGATCAACTATAGTGTAAATAGTTCCCTAACTATACTAATACATTAATATCAGAGTTAATCCACTATTACTCATGGCTTACATCTTCAATTATATGAGACACTTTGTAATAGACTAAATCAGGTATGCCTAATGTGATAGAGTGGATAATATATAGGGCCTACTCAAGTACGCCTAAAAACCGAGGATAGGGTAGTCCTAATTGTAACGAGTTCTAATAGCCTGGTTACTAATATATACTTATCAATTAACCTAAATATAATAATTTTTAGTCACCAAATAGTATTGTTACTATAATTATAGGGCCAACTAAAAGATCTAACGTTCTTTATAGCTATTCATAATTATTGTATGATATTATCCTATCCATTTACTATAATGTATCACTTGGATAAAAGTAATTAAGATTTATTATCCTTAATCAAGAAATTAACCTCAAGGATTAGTATGGAATAATGTTGGTTTGTTTATAATCGTTTTAGTGGAGACCAAAATTAATATCACCATAAGGATAAGTTGAGACCATTGGGATATCCCCTAATGTATAAATAGTCCAATTAGGTAAAATACTAATAGAGATCTCGATAAAAGGAGATCTTTGTCATTATATCCAGGGTATTAATTTTAACTACCTAATAGTGAGAAGGCCATAATCCCATAGTTAAAGTAATAGCCAATCTTAATGATAGTAGCATATTATGTTATTGTACTAAAATAATATAGCAATTATAAATGTTAGACAATTAGTTAAAGTAATAGCCATATATTTATAATATTACTCCCTATGATAGTGATGCTATCATAGGAGTTAGGTCCTATAAGCTTGATATTCCTAATATAATATTATCACCTAATTATATAAATAACCAACTAAGTAGCTATGAACAATTATATATGCAGCATGATCAATTAGGATATCTTTAGGTAACCTCAATATCGTGAATTATACTCGTGAATAATGGTTTACCAAAGTGGTCGATGTCCAATATATCTCATGAATAATGGTTTACCAAATGATGATTTTTTATACTTAAACCAAGTCGATGCCTAATAGCATAGCATATTGGTGGGTACTATAGGCCATATCGGGTCAAAGATAGAAAGTTATATATAACTTATCTCACCTATTTAAGTAGAATCTATTAGGGCTATACCTCTTATTTAAGCTCTTTTATGTACGAAGGCATACTCCAAAGGAGAGTCGATTCTTTGTTGATATGAGTACATTAACATGGTCCCTATAGTTAGTATTACCCTAGTCATAATATCATGGTTATGTCTTAGTAAATAATCTCATGATAATTATCTAGGGAAACATAGGGAAACATAATTAATAAGGTATAACAAGTATATTGGGAATCATATAATTAGCTCTACTAAGGTTTAATCTATATCTATGGTTGAACCCATATTTATATGCTATGCTAGTAAGGAATATATCCCATTAAATCTAGTTAACATATTAGCATGTTTAGTTAGAACCATAGGATATTAAATCACTCGTGTGATGTTTGGTAATCAAGAATAAAGTGATGGAAAGGAGAATGAAATTTTTATTCCCACGTTATAGCTATTTGGTTGGAAGGAATGAAGTGGGAATGAGAATGAAAATTAAACACAATTTCATTCCTATATAAAATGTGGGAATAAAAACAAGGAATGGGAATGAATTTTTTTTTAAATAATAATATATTTTACTTACTTATTATCTATTAACTACTTCTACCACCACCACCATTACTATTATAGCCTACTACCACCATACAACCACCACTACGGAACCATAGCCACCACCACCACAATAAGCACCACTACCACAACCATCATCACCATCGCCACCACAACCACCATTACCACGACCAATACCACCATTATCATAAGCACTACCACCGAGTAGAACCATCACCACTACAACTACCTCCATAAACACCACCACCACCACCACCTCCATCACCTTTATTATTTTTATAATTATTATGTTTGATAAAATTATTTTTTAATCATTATTTTTATTTATATAAATAATTAAATATTAAAAAATTTAAATTGTATTATGATTCCTCATTAGTATTCTAAACACAATATGAGAATAAAAATCCCATTTCAATTTCTTAATTTTCATTTGGATTCCTACATTCCCATTCCGAACCTTTCATTCTT